CCTGGAATACCAGAAATTGTTCTATCTGAAAGATTACACATTTAATTCAGCTTGGCACTGATTTACCCCAAAACTGTGAGTTAGATTAGGATCATAGCAATGGTCCAAGTGCACTGTGAGGCCTATACATTTTGTTGCTTGAATGTTTACAGAAAGCTATTTACACAATCACAGAACTGCTTAGGTTGGAAAAGACCCCTAAGATCATCAAATCCAACTGTTAACCTGACACTGCCAAGTTCAGAACTAAATTATGCCACTAAGCATCAAATTTACATACATTTAAAATGCCTCTAGGGATGGTGACTCAACCACTTCCCTGGGCAGCCTGTTCCAATGCTTGATATTCAAGTAATTTCAAAATTCCAAAGTGCAGAGGTATTTGTGACCGAGCTCATCTGGTATTGAAGCAAACACATGATAACTGTGGTGCTTAGAAAAGATACTCAAAGCAGCCTGCACAAATTGGCCTGCCTATGGAGCACATTCCTGTGGAACTTCAGGTGCAAGAGGCCTGTGAACTTTGCTGTGGCTGTGTTCTCTGTGTTTGTAGCTATGCTCCATTAGCTGTGATAATTGCCTCTGATTAATCAAAGCTAACACACCAAGGTGCTTTATAGAAAAACAATTTCTATCAATTTGGTACCACTGCAAATTGCACTCCAAGGTCTACATTCAGCTGAAGTGGTCTGAAAATAGTCTAATTCAAAAGCTTCTGTTGAACCTCAGTGTACTTCACTAGATTGATCTTTCAGAGTTTCTCATCACCTTGGTTCTTATCACTTATCCTATTCAATCTCTCCTTTTTCAAGTTTTTATTAAATTCTTTTCAGGCCATCAGCAGATTCCATGGAAGATTTTGAGTGAAACCAGCCAGAAAACCATTTACTTTAGTGCCCTCCTTCCCTCATTTCTAGTAGTAGGAAGCAAAAATATTTCCCTCTGGTTATCACGCGGTACAAGAATGTCATATTGCAAAATGTGCATTGCCTTCAAGAATGTGAAGATTAGTTGCTTGCTAGATTATGCACAGATCATAAGCCATTTAATTTGAATATGATCACAGAGGAGAGATAATTGCTGATGTATTCTGCTATTCTAACTAACTGAAACCTATCTGAAAAGCAATAGGTATGTTCCAGAAATTGTTCCTTCTCTGTTTACACCTGTAAACATCATTCATGTCATACTTTTAGTTAGTGGCCTTTACACCATCTGAGACCTGCAGTATTTTCAGCTTTGAGGCAAAACCTTGTAGGGAAGTTCAAACACAGAAGGCAGTTCCATGCCTCTCATGATGGAGTTGGCTTCACTTGGGAGAGCACCTGAGCACAGACCAAAAGATTATCTTCATATAGCATCTAAGCTGATTCTTATTCTGTCATTTCATGTTCTTGCCCTTAATATGGACTTTAACTATAATGAGAAAATGTATCATAATAAAAGAAAACCCCTGAGTGCTTCCAGTGTTCACCATGAGTAGCTGATACCTTTTATAATATAATGTCTTTTTATCATATATAAAGGAGAATCCTGCTATGTTGAACTGCTCCAGAAAAACTCAGATCAAGGTAATGATTTGATCATGGGATATTTGAAGTCAAATCAATTAACTCTGCCAAAATAATTTTTTTACCATGTATCATCATCCACCATGTTAGGAAAAATGGGCTCCACATTCTATATTTTTAATAACAATGTAGTCGGAAAACTGTCATGTCTTTCCAGCTGCATTTCTCTTCTAGTCATGCCTTGTGCATTGCTACTGTGCAACATTCTACTCCCCTGCACAATCACAAATAGTTGTGTGGCCTCATGTGAGTGAATGAGGGATCTACCCTTCTGTTACTTGAATAAGGTTCTTAAATGCATGATGCCAAAGGAGTTGGTGTCTCATCCATGTCTTCTTGACTGGGAGAAGTAAATGAGATGTGGCATCCCATCTTCCAGGACGTTGCAGATCATGAAATGTTCCTTGTTACCTTTCCTTTTTAATGTAGTGGAAAGAGGGAGCTAGCTATATAGAAAGAAAGGGTATATAGGAGGGGAATACCTGAAACTCAACTTTATTTTCATTGGAACCACACAGAAGCAATTATAGTCCCTGGACTGAGACCTTGAAATGTGGAGTTCATGTCCCGACTTCCTGCTCCTCCTTTGGGTGATGCACAAACCAAGTCAACAGATCAAACAGATTTATGAAGAAAATATTTTCAATAAGCATTTCTGTAAACTTAAAGCTTATACTAGGAAGACTGGATCCAAGGTTTTGATACTGTCATATAAACTGTATAAACAAGTGGTATCACAAAATTTTAATTGCATTTTGCAGCTCTCCAAAAGATTTTAAAACCCATTGGGGGGTTCATTTTGGTAATCTGTCAAGCCTTCCAGCAAATCTTTTCATTTCTGTTGCCAAAGTAAGCAATAACACATTTCAAATATGAAGATCCACATACACAGTTTTTGGGGGATTTTTTATTTGTTTTTCTAAAGGAAAACAAATTAAGTGTATTAAAGATTTAAAAGGAGATAACAATGTTAAATTCTTGCAGATCTGCATACACTTATCCTGCTGCAATGAGATAACCAAAATTTAATCATGTGGAAAGAGTTGAGGAACTGTTTTATGAAGCATTAATTCCTAGGAAGTTTGGGAACAGAAAAGCAGAAGCAATACCTCTAATCTGCATTCTGTTGGTTTTCTGGAGGGTGTATATGTTTTACAGTTGCTTTACTTTTGAGTCAATAACCCGTCCTTGTAGAGTCCATTTTTTGATTATTATTCAGAGCTTGCAAAAGGATGCGCTTTCTTGTTTTTATATTTTTTGTGTATATTCTTGTACTGCATACCCTCTACACTGTCAGTGATGCTGAGTTGATTTACCTGCTCAGGATAAATTTGTGCATAATGTTTGAGATGCCAAATATTTCATTACATCCCCGCCCAGATACTTCTTTTTATGAAGCAGCAGAATCCATAAAACACTTATTTTTCCCGTGTGGTTCTGACAGCAAAAAAGCCTTGCTAATGATATGCTGTGATATCTATTTCAGAATATCAGAAATCATTCCAGAGCTGGGCTGACACTTTTCAGTCAAGCCCACTAGGTTCTGTTCAAGGTTCTGCTCCAGGAAACAGGCACAATCCAAACCCCATCCCAAGAAGCAGGTCTGAGACAGTGACTCTCATGCTCTGTTCAAGATTTCTTTTGCTTTTCTTCCATTTGGTCAAAGCAGGTAGCATTTGTTTTTATCAGGTAGATTTTTTGTTCAATTGGTTTTTGCTTAAGTAGTGGGGTTAAACATTTTTCTTAGGTAATAAATAGATGAAGTATTTTTCATGTAATCCAAGTGGTTTATGTAGTGGAATATTGGAGGAAAGGGATTTTTCTCACTCTCACATTCCTTTGCTTATAGGTTATGAGGCATTCAGCTTCTGAGTCACTGTGAAATCCAAAAAGCCCTTATGAAGCTATATTGTCTTTTCATTTCCTAGCTCATTTGGTTCTTGCCCAGCTCTCAATCTCACTTTTTGTTTGTTTGTTGTGATTTAAGAGCACTTCTCATCTTCATTCACCTGACATAAATTTTCTTTGTGGTAGGGACTACCCTTCCATTCTGGGGTTTAGTTCAGAAAAGTTGGCCAAGTCAGTAAGAAAGTATCTAATCAGTATATAATTTTTTTTTTTTTTAATGGGAAACAACTCAATAGTTTTACTGATAATATTTTCAAAGTTAGAATTATTGAGAATTTATTTAATTTACCCATGTCTGTAATTTTGAATACCACAAAATAAGAGAATATTCTGAGTTGGAAGGGACCCACTAAGATCACCAGAGTCCAAATACTGGTTCTGCACAGGACAGCTCAAGAGTCACACATGTGCCTGGGAGCGCTGTCCAAACTCTTCTTGGATTCTGTCAGCCTTGGTGCTGTGAGCACTTCCCTGGGGAGCCTGTTCCAGTGTCCAAACACCCTCTGGGAGAAGAACCTTTTTCTACTATCCAACCTAAACTGCTCCTGGCACAACTTCAGGCCACTCCCTCAGGGAATGAGGACCTCACAATGAAAACCATTTGAAAAAAACTAAAACAAAGACGACTAACCAACATAATTTTAATATTTAACAAAACCCAAAAGCTGAGGTTTTTTCTGTTTTATAAAAATTTAGATTTCTCTTCTGATTGAAAAAGAACACACATGAAGTCAGCAGCATTGTGAGGGAAATGAAATACCTTTCATAGGTATATACCATTCATTTTTGACAATATATTTTCTGATGCTGACAAAAATCAGCAAGAATTAATGAGAATGAGGTGCCCATCTGTAAAGCTTTTGTCAGGAACTAAACATATATAATGCTTCCCAAGCTAAATGAGAAATTCCATTTTCTGATCAGACAGATATCTGGAAGGAGTTATAATGACTTTGCTTCCCAAAGTCCAAAATGGGTGCCAGAATTTCTTTAATTTTTTAAAATTGAGCTTAGAAAGCCTTCCTCCTAGACTTCACATATTGCTTCTAAGCATTCACAGAATCAATTTTTGTCCCCAGATTGTAAAATCCACATTGTCTAGCACATAGCTTGCCTATAACTTCTGTGGATTGCTAGCAGTATATCTATATCATATTTCTCCAAATAGACTTAATATGTCTGAAATTCTGCATAATAATATGCCCTTTACTGCTCCTTTAAATGCCTGCATCCTAGAAATAAGCAGCATCTGAACAGACTTTGTCCTGCCTATCTGTATTTTGTCATATGCAGCACCCAACCAAGGACTGTGGCATGCATTGCTAATAAATTCAGCAACAAACTGTAAATTTTTCTCCAGTGTCATCAGCTACAGAATCATTCTGAAGCATATTGCTTTAATAGAAAATGTATAATTCAACCAGCACACACACATAGGAGCTAAACTATGCCATGGGAAAGCATTAAACACCATCGTTTTCACAAAATTTTCACATCCTGCTCACTGCAAAAGATTGTCACCTGCTTCATGTGGCATACAAAAGGATTATTTTTTCTTTAGCTTCCAGGCAGAGCAGTAAGGTATGCAGAAAGTCTTCTTTGTCAACTCACTCCTGGCATCTGAAATGAAAATTATAGGTTTTTTACAACCCATTTACCAAAGAAGGAGTAAAACCAAAAAAAAAAAAAAAAAGGAAACATTGATGCTCACCTCACATCAGGAAAAAATATGCTATAGTCGGAGCAGAAACATAGAAACTAAAGAAAAATCAGATTTATAAAGTCATAGCAAAGCAGTAAAAATTGGGCAATGCTTCTGGGGGAAATTATAATACAGGGAGGAAGGAAAAATATATAAAAGGAGACAAGGTGAAAAGCTAATGGTTGTAAAAAAAGGTTTTTACAGGTCTAAACATATAAAAGAATTAATATTTTCCAATTTTCCCTTAATGTGTCTGCAGTGATAAACTCAGAAGTGACAGCAAGGGAAAACATAAAAAATGTCCTGGATACATGGGGAGATATACCAGTGAGAGATTTGCAGTTTAGGCATATTTTGGAAACATGTGACACTCAGTTCACAAATTATTTGAAAAAACCTTCTCATTAATCCTTTCTTTATATCTTCCCCTTTAAGGGCTTTTCCTAATCTTCTGCCCTCTTGCCATGGTTTTGCTGCAATGTCGTTTTTCCACTGCCTGTAGACCATAACGATGTCTAATTGTTACTTCACAGCACTAGATTTAAGATTCCCAATCTCATTACCAGCTTCTTCAGGAACTCCCTCTCCCTTCCTGTTCCCAGAAATGAGACCTGCATGGCAAGAGCCTTTCTGTAGAACAGCTGGCATTGGAAAAGGAGTGCTGTCTTCCCACCATCACTAATGCCCACACCCCCAAGTCTTCAATCTTTTCTAACTCCACTGAAATTTATTTCCAAACCACCTCATCTTTTCAGCTCAGTTCTTCTTTATTTGTTTCTTTATGAACCATGTCACTCTGCCTTCCGATATGATAAGCAATCTGCAAAACAAAACCTAAGTGAAGTCATCTCTGCTTCAGGTGAGGCCAGGTAAGATTCTGTGCCCCTCACCAACTGCCACCTGTGTGCTGCTCTGCCAGAGCTGCAGCTGGGCAAAGCCAAAATGGTCTGGTGTCACCCACCTTTACTCTCTGGCACTTGACAAGCTGGCAGTGCTTAGCAAGGACACCATGCAGGTGGGTAGCAGCGTTGGAATGGGAATAAGTTCTTTAGGATGTGTCCTACATGAACTAAGTAAAGCTGAATTGCTGCATTCCCTGATATATCAACATGCTTGCAGTTTCAGTCAATTAGCACTTCCAGCTCTGACAAAAGCAAGTATGAAACATACTAGGTTTTTTTCAGGAATTTTGCATGTTTTAATTGTATCACATCTGGAGAACAATTCTTTGACTTCAGGAATTTCAAATGAAGAGATTAGTGAACTATCATTGTTGAATATTTGTCTTCCTTTCAAGGTGTGACCTCAATTCCAGTGAAATACTTAGAAACTGTTAGATTTGCTTTCGTATATTTCCATTCCTGTTGAAAGTATCTGCCTTAGGTAAGAAACATGTAATCATTCTTAGGCTTATTCTGCAGCAACCAGAACATCTACCATATATAGATAGGTTTTCAATAATATTGCTACCAAATTCAGGTTTGGTCCCATATTTCTAGTTTTCTATGTCTCTCCCTTACATCAGGGACAACAATTCATTTTGCCAAATTTTGAATTAGTCAAGGTTGTAGCATTTAACCTGTGCCCACCCATGTCCCACTTTTTAGCCAAACATACCAAAAAGGAGACTCATGGGCAAACTTCAGAGCCTCATATGGAACCATTAGAAATTTCCCATGACATTTCTAAACAGTATGACTCAATAACCATCGTTCAAATAATAATGGAAGGTTGGAGTCAGATTTCTGCTTGTACTTACTCTCTGAGGGAGGATTTCGTGGAACAACCATACAGAAGAGTCAAGCAATAGATTATGTGAGGCATTTGCTATCTCTCAGCATAAATTCAAAGGTTCCCTGAGATGAGGCAGAAGCTACATTCATTCAGTCTCAAGTCAATCCCAGACACCTTCACCAGGAGATGTGTGTGTCAGCAGGGTCTTTGACCACAGTGGAATACTTTGCCTACAGAAAATTTAATTAGCTGAAATTGTTGTTAAGTGTAAGTCTATGGCTAATGTACCTTAGAAGATGATATGCAATTGTCATAACCAACCTATCTTCTACCCTTTCAAGTTCAAGGAGTCTTCTCAGAATAGTGATTTCCAGAGATATAGACACTGTCAACAATGGGAAAGGAAACTTGAATTACTTTTGCAGTTACTGTTTTACATTAACAATAGCAGTTTAGGAAATGATGGACTCAGTTTCTAGCCCACTAGAGATTTCCATTCAATACAAAATCACATTTCAAAAAGATGAGTTCTTGGGCAAATGGAGTAGAACAAAAAGCATTGCAGGCAAAGTCACAGTACCAGTAGGTGTTTCAGAGTTGCAGTACTTGAAATACCTTGCTCTTATACTGTCCAAATAGATGGAAGAATGCGAAATAGGACTGGACATAGAGAGAAATGATAGTAATTAGCACAAAAACATGCAAACAACTTCTTTGAAGAAGGATTGAAAAGACTGGGACTTCTTTTTCTCTGAAAGTAAAAGAAGCAATGAATAAAAACATCTAAAATAGAAAAAATATGCTGCAAGCTATCTCTCTTTCTAATTCTTTTCCCATCACTAAAATAGAATAAATATTTTCTAAACCATTTTTCTGGAGCTTCAGAACAAGAAATAGAGCACAACTAAAAGCTTGGAAGACTTCACATGTATGCCTTCTAAAAGAGATTATGGATTCACCAGAAAACATTCATGATGAAGTTTTGATAACCTTTAAAATAGCCCATTGATACTGAAGGTTAGTATATATCCGAGTGACATAGTAATCAAGACCAGGGATGATACATTCATTTCTATCCACAGCATCTACTTGCATTGCTGTTAAAGCAGCCAGATGCCCCAATCACCTTGTTGCAGATTATCCTCAGCCAGTGAAGTGATTGTCCTTCAGAATTACACTCATACGCCACATTAGTTCCAAAGGATTTCACAATTATTGATGTTGTTATCATGGGAATCAGGAAAAACTGTTGTCAGTGGAGTCTGGCACGCATACAGAAGTTGTACCAGCATTATTTTTGTTAGAAATGAATTTTTCTACTGAAATATTTATGCTACTGCCTTTCTCAGTGTGAGCACAACTCTTAATATATCTGTGAATGTGCATTTACTGGAGAACAGCAGTTTCTTTCCCTGTGGGGAAATAGATACACTAAGATAAGACCTTTATCCTTTTGTATCTACATCCTCACAAGAATGTAATTAAGCAATGCAATCTTTTTGCAATGAATTGTACATCAATATCTGAACTTATTAACTACTGTAGAACTGGAAAAGTGTTGCTATTATCCAAAATATGCTCATAGACACAAATATATTCAGCTAGAAAATGATTCAATAGTAGGTCACTCTGATGTGTAAGATTAGTATAAGAACCAGTGAGAATGTGTTACCTAGTGGCACTGATTAAATCATTTAGAAATATCATTTAGCTCTGAGGAGCTAAATAAAAAGGATTTGCAAACAACATTCACTTTCAATATCCAACATGGAAAAACAAAAGTACATATTTGAATTAACTTGTTTATATACTAACATGTATATAAATTATTTCCCTTGCTGCTGTCAGCAATAGGCAAATATATTGCTCAGTATTTTAGTTTGCATGACTTGTTTTGTTCATGGTGCACTGGCACTGCTGCCCCACATCTCATTTTAATACTTGCACTTATTTTGTAAAGAGTATTTACATCAAGTACAGATGTCCTTAATTAATAATTAGCATTGTAATTTGGTAAAGACATGGAAGAAAAAAAAAGAACAAGTTGCTATCAAATTTTTAATTCATAAGTAAAGATTGAGAAAAGATAAAATGGTCTTGTCTGGCCACACTGAGGTTCGAGACATTGGAGATCTGTTTTCAAGTTTGTTTCTGTTATTTTGCATGACCTTCAGAAACCATCAGTTTTGTGGGTTAGTGGTGAACCTTAGTACTATTTCCCCATTACTTACATGGTTCAGTCATCTACCATACTCAGATTTAAAATAACTTGAGCTGGAAGAAACCAACAAGGATCATCATGCTAAATCCCTTGACACTGGGATTAATCAGAGCTGAGGCTGGTCCCAGGAAGAAACTCAATCCTCAAAGCCTGAAATAGCTATAACCTGTTCTGTCTGGAGGATGTGATGGTCATTGTCTATTGTTTTAATCCCTCTCCTACAAGGTAAAAATACTTTTTTTCTCCTAACATATGCTTGCCTTCATTAGGCCCTGTTTAGAGGTTCAGAAGTTATTGTGCTGGTATGAGAGTCAATCTAAGTCAATGGTAGTTAAAAATGTCTGAAGGCTTTGTCTGTATATCACATTGCTTATTTTTTTTTATTTTCACATCATTTTCTGTGTAAGGTAATCATTAAATGGTTGTGTGAGTTAATATATTTGGTAAAATGCACAGCACCCACCTGTGAAGGAATTTCCAGCTTCAGATTCTCTGTACAAATACAACAGAGTTCCTCTCTTCCAGAATCCATTTATCTTTTTGCTATTTTCAGAAATTAAGAAAAAATCAAAAGTAAAATGCTTGAATCATTCTAAATTAGGGAAACAAGTTGATTCTCCTCAGCTCTGACTATTCAGCTTCTATCCTCCAGCCAACTGCACACACTGCTGACTGCTGACTGGTTAAGCTGACCCCACCCTTTGCTGACTGGTTAAATCAGGACTTGGTAGTTTTCTTACAGAAATAAGTACTATAACTACTTTTACTCTTTCATCTGGTTGGGCAGGATTGATCACTCACTTGTCCTCAATCTGCTTAGGTTTACAGGTGGAAGTACAGACTTTGACATGTGAGGGTTTCCGAAGAAAGTAACAACACGACAGCCATGTAGCAGCCCAGTTCCCTCAAAGGCTTGGATTTAAGAAAATAACTGAGAAAAAATGACGTTTTTTGGTAGAATCTGAACTATTTAAAGCAGAATGATGGGAAAAGAAATTTCTATTTTTTCAATCAACTTTAATTTTCCAGATAACTTTCACTTCATAGAATACACACACAAAAGAAATCAACCCCTATAAATTCTGCAGACTTTCATTTACAAAAAAAAAAAAAAAAAAAAAAAAAAAAAAAAAAAAAAAGCTTTTCTGGAAAGCTTCCTGAAACCCAGAGTAGTGCAGGAGGAGTGCTGCCCCCCACATCATCCCAAAATCTGCAGGCTCCAGTGCTGTGGCACAGACCTGCAAGCTGCCTGATCCAAGATAGATCTGCCCCTCAGAGAAGCTGAAGCTTTCTGGGTCATGAACCCCCCCTATCCTGTAACAGTGAACAGTACTTTATTGTGTACCTTTATGTTTCTTTGTTGCTACATTTTGTACTTAAGGGCAGTCAGGAATTCCTTATATATAAATCAAATACCAATTATCAGAACAGTACCTTTAAAACACATATTAATGCAATAAAAATATAATTGTGTGAGCAAAAAATATTAATTGATTGATTTTTATAGTGAAAGGATTACCATAATGATAAGGATCAAAGTCTAAGACAGCAATTAGAAGTCTGGCTACATTAACTAAATTTTCCAGCTGGTCATAATATCATAAATCCAAACTTATCCAAACTTATCCAAACTGTGCTGCTTCACCACAGAAAATGTCTTTGGCTTATATATTTTCAATATAGAGACTAAAACAAAAAATTTTCTGAAGATTTTTCTCATCACATTGCTTAGTGACTCCAACTTCTCATAGCTTCTAAAATAAGGTAAACATTAAACAGCCTCACTTTGTATCTGAATCTGAGATTACTCTATAGCTAAGGATGGAAATCTCTTTGGCATGTTTGTCAAGGAACTATACAGTAGCATATAGTCTTCAATAAATATTCTCTACATTTTAATAGGTATTTGAAATCCTCAGAAAAAATCAGGCATTTTATTAGTTGCACTGCAAATGAGCACCTAAGCTCTGAGATATTTCACATCTGACTGTACAAACTGATAATGAATGTGGAATTTCTCATCCTATGGTTACCAGCAGTTATATACAAATAGTCCAGTTTTTCTTTACAGAATTTTGTGTGCAAGAGCTAAAAATGTATTCTCTTGTTGTCTGGCAGAGACTTTGCTGTCATTGCTAGCTAGTTTACTAACTAGTTTAAAAAGCAAATGATGATTTGCAATACTAGCAAAACACTTAAAATTCCCTTAGTTACAGAAGTGGGAGAAATGAAAAACAGGACAGAATAATAAAGTAAAATAAAAATCTGGCTTCTATCTCATTTAGAGTATGATTTCTGAAATTTCATTTGTAATTTAAAAGCAAACAAACAAACAAGACACCGGAACGTCTGTCCAGAAGAGCAAACTTAATAATTGTTAGGAACATTTTAAAGCAGTAGGATATACTCATAGAAAATTATAATAAATGAAGAGGTTGTTCTTTGTAAACTCAAGTGACCAGTCAAAAGAAAAATGGGAATTAGTCAATAGTGCTAGACAGAAAATATTAGATACTTGTTTAAAAAAATATTGAGAAACCAGTTCAACCATCTATAATAGAAGAGCAAAAAAGATGAATGCCTGAAAAAAGGTCCTGACCGGCCCTGCAAATAGTTACACACAGCCCAGGTTCAACCATGACAACAATCAGCTGGCTGAAATGTCAATATGTCAATAAGTGACTAAGCATTGGCCAAAGCTGGACAAAAATGGCAAAAAAAAATAATGAAGGACTGCATACACAACTAAAACGTATGAAAAGAACTAATAAAAGGAATAAAAGAAATCAGCTTTAAAAAAGGGAAGTATTGCATGCATGAGGATTTAACTGTCAAAAAAACTCTCTTTTGTTTCTGCACTGTTCCCTTACTTTCTTTCCTGGTGCATCCTGGATTCAGTCTGCAGCAGGTAACTTGTCTTCTCCCTTGCAAGGCAGCAAATGTAATTTAGGCTGCTATGTAAAAAATAACATCTGAAGGATTACCCAGCAGAAAAAGAGATAAATAATTTGATGGTAGCTGCCTCAAATTCGCAGGGAAATGAAGCTATTTCAAACAGCAACAGCTTCAGTACTGAACTGCTTATGGAAGACTGCTATTATTATTAAAATTAGTAAATGGTTCTCCTTCTCTTTTTTGTTGCTTTTGTTCCACCATATTTACATAATAATTTTTGTTCTTTAAAAAAAAAAGAAAAAAACTAGTCTGTTACCTGGATAGCACATCCACCTCAATCACTCAGAGAGGGCACACACACAGCTTTAGGAGGGTGCATGACAATCCATTTACAGAAAGTACCACAGTCACTACACTTAAATGCCATTTCAAGGAGGGACAAAGTTCACATCACAGTTACAAAGTCTCTTTTTCCTTACCTTCCTTTCAAGCCTCTGACTTAGCTTCTCACATGTCTCTTGGTCTTTATGTTACTCCTTCTGTTATCACAGGAGATTCTGAATAGATGAGATTGAACTATTTTTAGATAGTAAGCAAATCTGGCAAGGACTCAGTTATTTCATGTTACAGGAGTTCATGCAGACTTTCTGGTTTTCATTTATTTGATCTCACACGCTCTTGAGTTTTGCTTTGAAATTCAAGTTCAGACAAATTCAAAAATTCAAAGCAAAATTCATCTGGAAGTGTCAACAGCCTCTTTACCATTACAGACAATCTGTATAAAAGAGGTAGGTGTAACCAATTTCAGTATTTGAACAGAAAAGCATAGTCCAGAGCTGGGTCACTATAAAATTTCACAAAGTGTTACCTTAATCTAAACTAAATTTTGAGCTCCAGGACATATTGACCGTTGGACTCCAATCACAATGTGTAATATTTTTTGCTTACTTAAAACCTACTGAATTTTGTGATGAAGATCCTACAACTTTTAAATTTTCAAATTAAGTGAAGCAGAGCAAGGTTTGCGTATTTGAAAGATAAGCAGACCCTAAACAGCACACTGGGTCTTGAACCACAACCTGTTCTTGAACATTTCCTGGGATGGGACATCCACAATTTTTTTAGGCAACTTGTTGCAGTGCCTCCCCATCATGACAATAACAAATTCCTTCCTAATATCTAACCTATGTCTCTCCTCTTTCATTTTATAGCCATTACTCCATGAATGATGAAAATGTCATCCTGATGGAACCCTAAAGATTTCCTTTGTGATCTATTTGAAAACCTTCCTTTTCCTGTAGGGGGATAGAACATAAGTAAATAAAGGTAGTCTAGAAAGTAATCTTACCCCTAAGGAGTTGCAGCTGAACCAATTACTAAATATTAGGAGCAGGCCTGATGTTAACAGGCCACATCTGTAGCCAATAAGAAGAGAGTTATAAAAGAGTGGATTGGTGGGAACTGGAGTCAGTTAGCTGCTGTGAGGACAAGGAAGAGTCAGTGCCTGGAGGAGCTGCCTACAAGAAAGCTCTATCAAGGAGGTATGAAACTCTAGCAATATGGAGCCCTCGCAATGTACAGTAAAATTCTTGCACTATAATGACAGCACTTTCCTCTGTTGTTTTCTCGTTATTTTTTGAGATCTATTGTTGTATTTCATGACTGTAAGCTCTTGAAGAAGGTACCAGCCTTTTGATAGTTTATCTGTTCAGCATAAAGGAATTTATGTGAAAGCAGCCTTTATCTTTGGTACAATAACACAAATACATGGTGGAACTGGATATGCCACATTTTAAATGAATGTATTCAAGCCTGAAAAGAATCCTGCATTTCCCTGTGGGGTTTTGCACTCGACTAAGATGTAGGAGAACCTGTCTCTCTGTCTTCTGTAGTTGGCACTTCCAGCTATTGTTTCTTGTGGAGGGATAGAATGTAAGAGAATAGTGCAGAAGGTAATCTCACACCTGAGGAGTTGCAGCTGTACTAATCACCAAAGATTAGAAACAGGCCTGTCCTTAATAGGCCATAGCTGTGTCCAATAAGGAGATGAGTGCTATAAGGAGTGGGTTGAGAGGAGAGTTGGAGTTTGCTGATTGTGCTGTGAAGAGGGCTGAAGTTTGTCTGTACTGAGAAGAAGAAGGAGTCAGCGCTGCGAGGAGATGCCCACAATAAATTACCGAGAAGGTATGGGACTTTCACAATAAGATGGCAACAGTTCCTGGTGCTTCTTTACATTCAAACTCTGTCCCTCACTATTCAGCCCTAAGAAAAACCCTGAAACAGTAAAATTACTCCCCATGATTTCTTTTATCTGGGCTTTTTTAGTTTAATGCCACATTTCACTCCCAGACACCACAACCACTCTTTGTCTGTGGCCTCATGCGAAGTTCTTATGGGTTTTTCCATGCAAGTGGGTCAGCTCCAGCTCCAATGCCTTTCCATGTCTGTTCCAGCTCTGCAGCTCCTGCTTGGCTCTTCCCCAGCTGCATGCTGCTTCCTCAGAGCTGCAGAGATTCAATGCAGGCTGTATTGCCAGCTGCTTTGAATGCTGACAAGTACACATACTCACCATTCTTTTCCATAAAATGCAGTGGCAGACTCAGGCCAAGGGTCTCAAATACTTCTGGAATTGACTCTTGACTCTGGTGATGTTTCCAACGTGTCTCGCTTGTTCAGTATAGAGTATGGTGAATAACAGTAGCAGTTATTAAGTACAGTTTTCAGAGTAACCTCCATTTACCAGGTCAGGCCTACAGCAAATGAATGAAAATAACAGATATGGAGTAAATGGTTTTGTTTGAAAGGTTGAGCTAAAGCTCACCCCAGCTTTTTTCTTTATAGTAGATATTGTCATTTAAGAGCATAATCCAATTTTACTTTGGAAGGATGTTATTTCTCCTTTCTGTTCCTGACAAGAAGTGCTCTTAAGCTGCTGTATGGAAAACATATAATGTCTACAATATGTTATCTGGTGACTCCTAAAAAAAATACCCAGCTTACTCGAGCCTGTACAAATTTTCTGGAAATTAGAGATAAAATTCTTTGCATTTAGGAAGTTAAAACTGTAAGACAATGCATATAAGCACTCAGTTTTCAGAAAGAAAAAACACAATCACACATTCCTCAGAACTGGAGTAATTTATTTCAACCTGTAAAGATGCACTGGTCATCTGCTAAATTTATTCTGCTGTAAATTCTTTCTGCTCAACACTGCCACATGGAAACCCATAGAAATGTAGAAAATTCTAGGCTAATATCAGTGCTGTGAACTTCCAATATTTCCTAAAAATTTTGAAATGGCATGCTAGTTTCTCTGAAGGTAAGATATTAAAAAAGGCATCCAAGCCTTTGAAAATATACATGCTCACAGATAACATGTCACTTTAACCTCATACTTAGAAGCTAAAAGGCTCACACTAATTTCTTCTTGCATAGGGAACGTTCTCCCTGGAAAAGTCCATTTCTCTTACAAATGACTTAACAGTCCTCTTGGCTTGTAAAGAATTTGAGGGAAAAACTCCAACAAAGTCTAAAGCTCATGTATCTGGTAGTAAATAATACTAATATATCTACCATATGCTGTGTTTATGTATTCTGGAGATTTTTTGGTTTTTGATTGCCAGGGGTCCAAGTAAAAAACCCATCTGCTGAAGCCTCTGTATTCTGCTTCTCACTGGAGATAACCATGGTTACAATGCCAAGTGCTAAGCATGAAATTGCAGGCTTTAGATGCAGCAAAAATGATATATTGGTGCTCTGGCATACACAGACACATCTGCACCAGATCCCATATTTGTGTACTGAGAACAGACTGTTTACAAGATAAGGTGACTGACATTCTTAATTGCAGATGCATACCTCTAGATAAAAGAAGATTATTATTTGCATAACCTGATTGCTTACTCGACTATTACACAGTGCTAGAGATAATAAAAAGGCTTTAATAACTTTGAGACAAAGTGGTATTTTTTTTTAATGTTTGTATATATATATATTTTTTTTTTTTGTGGAAGACAGGACATATTTTCTTGCAAAGGAGATCTCTCCCAGCCTTCCCATACATATATGATTTTATATTAGGTGGATATACACATTCATACATACCTACAATCTGAAAAAGAGGACTGTGCAAGATATATTTGGGTACAGGACTTGAAGCAGAAAGGATTCTCTTAATTTTTCTCATTACTTGACAGAGATTTTCATTCCATAATTTAATATGAACTTGTTATCCTATCACTTATAAATTAATTCTTTAGATATGACAGTTCTAGAAGAAAAAAAAAAGTACTGGGATTGCTTTAGGTTCTTTTCCCTAATTCTTTCCTGCAGTGTTTTGTTAATGAGATACACAGTAAAATTACATCACTGGTGAATTATTTAACAACAGGCCCCCTGGAATTTCTACAGCTTGAGTTTAGATGACTCATGAGCTTGAAATCAGGGCAGCTCTAGGCATTTTAGATTTCAGCACATACAGAAACCATGTACATGTTTTTCTACATCCATTATTTTTCAATAACTAGATTAATATTTTAACTTCAACTAGCTAGGGGAATTAACATGTCTTTGGAGTGACAGCTGCAGAAAGTGATCTGAACATGATGGCTAACCTTCCACTAAAGATGTGGCGTCAGGTAAATTTCTGAAAGTGAGGTGCAGAAATCCTCACACTGAGGAAATATTCCTCTGGTGTAATGAAAAATAAAGTGTGGCAATTTATGACAAGATTTTCCAACTACACTAGAACCTAACGGTCTTGATTATGCGTGTAGTTGTGTTTATAGATTCAGAAGTTCCCTTACGAACTCCCATCCTCTCAAATTGTAGGCATGTATCAATATTAAGTTACTAGGAGCTAAACATTCAAGAAGCAGTGAGTTTGCTATCAGCAGCAGCCTCTAGAATGTTTCTTCCTGTTAGGTGTGTTCTCCAGGGCAAGCTTGGATGCTTTATCAGCTAAACTATGAAGGACACATTGGAAGTAAATGGCAAATTGAGATTCCCCAGCTGGCAGTCTTTAACTTTGGAATCTATCAAAAATTATGGAGAAATGTAGCATAAAATTCAGAGAGGGCTCTACCTCATAACTACACCTCAGATGATTCACCTGAAGCAGGAGAGGAGCTTGATAAAAATTAGTGACACATGAAGAAAGCAAAAAAAAAAAAAAACATTTAAAAAGTTAAGCACTACAGGTTTCCCTTTCTCAGTGCTGTTCCAGAGCAGATTTCAGGGTCATGCTTTCCATTCACAAAGTGGCCTGAAAAAGGTGGCTGATCCACTATGAGGAAATTTCCTAAATTGCAGTTCTGGTCTTTGGGGAAGGCTCCTCAAAAATGATCCAAATGCAGGCTGCCACTAACTGCCAGGGACAAAGACCCTTGCACAACCCCTGCCAGTTTCTGCAGGACACTGCAGTTTCTTTTGGCTGTCTGCTCTGAGTGCACAGTGGGCAGGACCTGGGCAGTGATTGTCCCCTCCAGTAACTGGGGCACTGGTGAGGCCACAGCTCAAATCCTGTGTTCAGTCTTAAGCCCCTCAATGCAAGAAGGATGTTGAGGCGCTGGAGTGAGTCCAAAGAAGGGCAGTGGAGCTGGGGAAGGGTCTGGAATGCAAGTTTTATGAGGAGAGGCTGAGGGAGATGGAGTTGTTTAGACCGGAGAAAAAGAGGCTTAGGGGAGACCTTATTGCCCTCTACAACTGCCTGACGGGGCTGTAAAAAAGTGGGTGTCAGTTTCTTTTTGGAAGTAGCAAGTGATAATCGAGAGGAAATAGCCTCTAATCTTGTCAGGAGAGGTTTAGATTGAATATTAGGGAAAGAATTTTGCTGTAAGAGCAAAGAATTGGAATAAGCTGCCCAGGGACTGGTTGAGTAAATAGCCCTGAGGGTGTTTAAAAGATGCGCAGATATGGTGCTTAGGGACATGGTTTAATGTTGGACTTGACAGTACTGGGGTAACAGTTGAACTCAATGATTTTAGAGGTCTTTTCCAGCCTTAATGATTCTATGATTCAATTACCTCTGTAGCCTGATTCCCTGCATTAGCTGCTCTTCATGTTCACTGGGAGCTGCAGAGAGCAATAACAAAAATTGTCATGAACCAGCTCAACAGTTTGTTCATCCTTCTGCTCAGCTGAGGCCGCATCCTTTGGCTGTGCCCCGAGGCAAGGCAGGATAATCCACATCCACTCCCATTTCTCTATGGGGAGCATATGCACAATCATATCCACGCAGCAGCACCATTGGTGCCATCAGAATCTGAGCACAGCCTGTAGCTCTCAGGCACTCTGATGCGATGTGGAATATACCCAACCATCAGAAGAAGCCACTTGCATGGGTGAAGATCAGGTGCATGATCAGATGGTTTCAAGAGGGTTCAAGTCAGTGATCGCTCCCTTGGCAGGCTACCTCAACAGCTGCAGATTGCACAGGGGAGAAAAGGTGTCTTCTCACATAACTAAGATCTGAACCACAAAGACATCTCCTCCTTTATGACAAACCTGAAATGAAAAGGAAAGCAGAGAAGCCACAGAGCAGCTGATATAATATGTTTCTTGTGCCCTAAATCCCAGCTGTCAGAGGCAGCTCTGAGGTGCACATTCGATTTTGGAGTCATCTTCAAAGTCATGGAACACAGCAATGATGCAACTTGGAAGGCACCAAAGTACAAAAGCAGAATTTCAATTGAGATATTTTCATTCCTGAAGAGAAAAAGAAATTAGTCCTCTCCAGTGACTTCATGTTTACTTACTGAAGGAAAGGTATCTCACATAATCAAAGGGGTTAAAATGCCGAGGCTGTCTTGACTGGGGCAGCAGGAAGACTTTGACAAGGACAAGACACTGTGACAAAGCCAATCACTTGTAGTTCTATGTTCCTTTAATGAGGTAAAGTTAAAATCTAGCTTATTTCCTCTCCTAAAATTCATTAAAATCCTTATCTTCTGAACCTCTCACTACTTCACTACATCAGCACTGATTTTTCCTTTATTATAATAAAACCAATGGGACTTTATCCTGCAATTTGTTTGTGTGGGATAGTTCATCCTATTTACCTGTTTTGACTGTTGTTTTTCTGGCAGACTGTTCTTTCAGGGTTTATCCATCCAGCTGGACATTTGTACAGGGTCCAGCTCTCTGACTGAGTTGCCATTGCCACGAGGCATTGCTGCAATGTAAACAATACGCAATCATTCATCCTCCTCAAGGCCAACAGGTGACTGAAAATACAAAATCAATATGACAAACAAGGAGTGAGCAGTGGAGAGTAAAGCTGCAAAGATCTAGGTAAATGATTGCCAGGCTCTCATCTCAATGAGATGCATTTTTATGAGGCACTGAAGTTGTGTGAATATAGGATGACAGAAGGCTGTAGACTCCAGAGTAAGAGAACCCCCAGAGTATGGCAGATCAACAAGAAATAATTAGACAGAAATATGCAAGTTAAATGAAAAAAAAATTAATATTACTCCAAGCTGTGCTTATTGAGAGAAATACATATGCTTTCTAAATTTTAAATAGGCACATGAAAAGATGAGTTTTCCTATAGTAAATTGGAAAACATTAAAGCAGTTTTTTTCTCATGCTTCTGGACTCTTTGACAGCCAGTGGCAGACTACTGACAAAAGTGAAAGTGTTCTAGCCCAGCCTCCACACTAAGTATTGGCCAGGATTCATGCTGTAGCCTTTCCCAAGGGCTAAAGCATCACAGTGAGATCAGAGAGCAGAACAGATGAGCTTTTCATGTAATTGTCACTAAGGAAGCAAATTTTTGACAGAACCAGAAGCATCACAGCCAGTTCTGCAGCTGCTCTCAGGGAGCACTGCCTTAGGCATGTCAGATGCAAGCTGCAGGCAGGACCACATTCAAGAATTGACATTCTTCCATTTCTCTTCTTTTGGTCCTTTTCCTGCAGCTGCAGTTTCTGTTCTGGTGACTCACTGATGTATCTCTCAACTTCTGAAGCTATTTTACAATGACATAATAGTTAGTCAGACTCTTACTAACAGAACAGAAAGTGTTTTTCCTAAGGATATTCATAGATTTTTCCATTAGAACCAAAGAAAGCGCTTTTATTATTCAGCATTATGCATATACATACAAGTAGAAGCTGGCTTCAAATTTTTCATTTGCTGAATACCTCCTTATTTGAGCTCCGTCACTGCATGCTCTCATCATCCCATGATCTCCATCCATCACTGACAAGGGCCCAGGAACACAAGCAGAGGAATTTGCATATTCTGAGCCACTTTGTAAGGTAAGCCACACACACAGATTATCTGTGGATTGCTTCTTAGATGTGGGATTTTAAAGATCCAGATGTAATACAAGGGACATAGGGGTAATTTGGTACCTATCAACTCTGTGGTACCAAAATATATTTTCTTCAGTGCAATTTAACTGAGTTAAACACAGAGACCTCTGGATCACAACATTGTCATCCCTTTTGCTCTTACAATGACTGACTTACTTTGTTACCTCTACATCCTCTGTCTCTTCTTCTGAATAACTTGACTCTAAGAGCACACAAATTTCTCTGTTGCACTCTTCTGTCTACTTTTCTTTCTCCCTCCTTTTCTTCTTCTACTCCATCCTTAAAACCCATTGGTGGGTGGGGTGTATTTTTTTATTTTCCTTTTCAACAAATACCAGACATAGAACAAAACAATGCTGGGCAAACACACAACAAAAGCCTATCTTCTTCTCCAAGTTTTACAAGTTTTAAAGAAAAAAACCAAGAGACACCAAAAAGGCAAGGCATTTGATGTCAATACTGCGAGCAACAGTCACAACACAGAGGCAGATACATTTTTTTTACAATGTTTTCCAGGACATGTCTGCCAGCAAACATTTAAAAGACACTTAAAAGAAAACTCCCTTACCTAGATTTATAAGGAATTCTTTCAAATGACAAGTAAAATAGGAGAGCACAGAAAAATGCCTGTCAGAAATCATAACCAGTCAATGACATAGCTGATATCCTAGATCAGAGAAAAGCAGGTGCTGACCTCCCAGGGCTGCCCAGGAAGTGATAGTTTGTACCTATGGATAGGCCATGAAAGCTTTTGAGGACTCATGTCACATACATCAACTGGTATCAAAACATCTTCTCTCTCAACTCTGCCTGCATACTTGTTCACTTGCAGTGCTGTGTCTGTTTAAATTAGTTTGTTAGCGTCTACATGTCCTTCCACATGTTTGTAAAACTTTATGGAAATCTTTGATATAAGTTATAAATGCTTATAAAATACCAAGCTGTTTAATTTTTTATCACTGTAACTGCTTTCTTCAGGACATATTAGGAGTATCTCCATTCTGCACTGTTTACTCACAATGGTATAAGAAATCAATAAATAAAACTATTACTTGGAATAATTTTCAGTTGAGAAAGTTACCAACATGATTAAAAGCAGTAAGCAGAAATTTTCTGGTTTTCCAGGTACTGAGATGTGCTTCCCAAAAATGGACATATTTTTCTAATAAAAAAAATGTTTAAGAACCAAAACACTCCCAAATTCTTTTCTTTATTCCACATATGCATGCATTTCTTTCAATAACTAATTGGAAAAGTAACCATTCTTCATTGAAAGAATGGACACTTACGCTTGTTTTTACTATTTCCATGGTTTAAGGAATATCTCCTGCCACTGAATTTTCAACAAACTTCAAGATTCATTTTAATGGATTTTGTTTGGTCAGTGGTAGCAATGGCCAAGAGACAGATACAGACTCTGCCAGGAAGAAGCCTGAGCCAATTCCTTGCTCATGATCAGCTCTGTACTGCGGAAATTCCCAGCATCTACTGTTTACCAGCTCATCCTGGAAGAAATATTTCTTCTTCTTCAGTAAATTAACAGTAAATTATTTGGAGTAAATGTCTACATCAAGGTTACTTTTCCACCCTCTCCATAAAGGTGAGATTTCATTTGCATGCTCACAGTCTGCCCCTCGCCATGTATATATTTCCATTTTCCCCAGGAAAGCATTCATCATGCCCAAATGAGTATAGATCCTTTTTCCATAGTTCAAGGAATTAGAGAAACACTGGAAAATACTGTTGCTTACATGTTCAATCTTCTTGCATCACATGCTTTTTTAAGGATTTATTTTAAGCAAAATGAAAATGATCTCTGAGCATGTAAGTTGTTTACCCTTAAAAATAAAACAACAAAGGAAGCCCTTCACAACAGTTAGCTGGTTAAGCAGAGAAAAATCAGGAAATCTAGCTGGCTGAATTTCCATTTGATGTGCAAAATAGGGAGGGAAATAAAAGAAAAGAAAATGTTTGGTCCAAGAGTTTGTTTCCCATCCCAAGTAACTGCTTGTTCATCATAAAATATTGTTCTGAATTCAGCTACAGAGTTGAGAGACTTCTTAACTCTAAAATACTAGAGTGAGCTTTTTTCTCTTTTCTTCTCTCAGTGTGCCCTAGTGGGCCCTATAGCTAAATTATACCAACATGGATTATAAACAACTGAAAAGACTTGCAGTTTTTATGGGAAAATATTTGGTAACTAATCAATATAGGTTTTCCAATTTATTAGTCTGCTTTACACAGTAATAGAATCTTTATGTTTGGGTAATGTAGTTTCCTCTATTATTTCCCCATATTGTACATTAAAGTTGAGTAAGAGGAGAGATTTTTTAAAAAATACATTGATAAAAAGGCTCATGATTTTGTTTTCTTTCATCTCTAATTTGAAGACTCGTGCAAATAGCCTTTAATCAAGAGATTGAATAAAACATGTTAACATTATACAAGAAGCATATGTTATTCAAGTTGGTATGTGGCTAAACACAAATAGTTATAGCATTAAAAAATCATAGAATTTCAGTAATTAATTTCAAAGCAGCTCTATCTACTGGGAAAGTTTTTAAAATTTCTTTTGTCAATAATCTAAGATTATTACACACATGCAACCTGGAGAATTCTATACAGCATGCCTAAATATTTTGAACAGTAACATGAATGCACTTTAATACTTAGTAACCTGCTGTGTAATTTTGAACTCACAATTAGTAAATCAATATAAAATCCAGTATTAAGTGTGGTCAAAATGAAATTGCATGTAAATGGTAACATTTTGTGTCATTTCCATGACTGCTAGAAGAAGAATCCTCAGAGTGATTGTCCCAAATTCTCTCAGTGAAACTTTAATAGAAATATTTCAAAGAGATGCATTCCTTTGAATTTTCACCATCCCCTCTAAACATATCTCATTTAGATAAAAATGAGAGTGTTTTCTGTGTTCTTGTTTGGGTCACTCAGACCAAAGCAGACTCTCAGGCAGTCTAGGTTGTCTCAGCAAAGCCATGCAAACTTGAAACACAGCACAAAAACCAGATCATGAATAGGTTTTTTTAATTTTTTTAAAGGTACAAATATATGGCTTTCTGATGAGCATCCCACAGTACTCTGTCACAATGGGGCAGCAGTGTATTGTGGGGTGTTCTGTTAGCACACTGCTGGCATTCACACAGTGCTACGCTTCTTAAAACCAGCAGAAGAAAGTTATTTATTTCCAAGATCCATTTCTCTCTCAGCATGCAGACAAGACTGATACATCCTACAATGCTAGCAGACATTGATCTATGCTGTTTCAACACTGGCCACTCTCTTTTTGGTGGCCTCTACCACCAGGTAGGAAGGAACACCAAAATTAAGACCTCAATGCAATGAACTTTTTTGTGGGGCTAAAGGAAAGAATGGTGTGAGCCAGGAGAGCTTGCAGAGGACAGGTTAGCAATTGCCTTTTTACCTCTGCAGGAAAGTAATTTCTTAAGCTGGAGAACATCAGCATGAAACAGGACTCCAGGAAGCAAGGGAAAGAGCTATTGAGAAAGGCTAAAGACAGATCAGAAATTATCTGAAGGTGAGTACTGCAGTAAGTTGAAAGAACAGATAAACTGTAAAGCTTGTGTATTCATCATTCAGTTTTGGGAAATCAACTCCTACCAAGCACTCAGAGCATGACTTTTATTCATGCCTCCCTGTTATAAATACACCTTCCCAGAACCACAGCTGATATAAATCAGCTTGACTTCAATGGCACAATACCAAATTACAGCAAGTGAGGATCTGGCCCCATAGAAATACTGTATGTCCCTTTTGTGGCATTCTGCAAGTTCTGAAATCAATACTTCATTTATCTTCTGTCCCTTATACAATACCACTGCTGCCCTTATTGTGTTGCTTTGAGTCTGCTGGATGTAGCAGTATTATGCAACTGAGGTATACTTTCATTTGCCAGAAAACACTCCTTTTTCAAAGCAGTTTTCCGAAAGCTTTTATTTGTTCTACAAGCCACTTAATATTCCTCAAGTTTCTTCCCACAAGCAAGTTGGCCCCATTAAAGGTAGCAGAGGTCTGAGACCTGACCATGCTCTGTTGCCTGGCTGACACATCTCCATTTCCACAGAGTGTCTAATTTCAAACAGCTGTTCGTCCATTCCTGTCTCCTACCCTGTGTCACCATTTCAACAGGAAAAGTCAAATGCTGTCACTTTGCCATTTATTCTGTACTAACCAGAACGGGGATAAACACAGGATTCAGACTGCCATTAAATAAAAAGCAAAGAAAATCACATGCAAAAATAATGAATAACATTTGAAGTCAGAAGTACATTTACTCTTTGAGCTACCCTGGTACCACTGATGATGATACAGAGCAGACAATCCAGTATCAGTGCAGATAGTAGTGTAGGAATAAATTAATTCTAATGAAGGAAGTGACAGTGTATATCAATGGATAAACTGATAAAGTATCATTCATTTCAGGAAAAGCATCCCCACAATCCACTTTTGAAGACTCTCTAACACTAAGTAAAGAATAACTGCTAAAACCTAACTTACAAGCTCTAACTCACCTTCCACAACATCTATCCCCACCAATCATTTTTAAGGGATTTTGGGATTTCACCTTTTTCTCATAACTGCACATAAGCTTAGGTGCTATGTGAATATCTCATTGTAATGCTGGATTTTTAGCCATTGAGGCTTTGTATGTTCTTGTTCCCCATACAATATTTTTTAGTTATTCTTCTTACTATGGGTGTGGGGCTAGGGGATTGATATAAAGCACAAAGTAAAGCCAAAAAGGACAATTAATTAAGCAAATGAGGAAAGAATAAGAGCTTGTCCATCTGTATACCTGGCATTATAATAAGTCTTGTATAAATATATGAAATAAAATATAACCACTAAACACAGACTTTCTAAATAGTGGTTATACAAAAACTCTCTCACACATGCAATTAAATTAGCCAGAAAGGTGTCTCAATGTCCAATTAACAGCTACAGCTGTGACACATTTTGTGCAAATGTCTGCAACTGTGGAAACACAGAATTACAGGCTAATAAATTCAAAGTATTTGATGCTCTTCTCATGAGGTAAAATACTGTTCACAAAAGCTTGGGGAAGTGTTCCCTGTTCCATGGAAGAGCTCAAGGAGTTCCTCTTAGTGCTTTGCAAGCAGTGTTATCAAGCCTAAGATACCCCAGTGCTCAGAAACATCCCCATGGGATGGGACATGTTTGCTTACATGCCATCCCAGAATTTTCACTGATGTACACTGCCTTTCAAAAAAGAATCCAAATCACTTCAGCTGAGTCATGCTCAGAATAAGAAGGGAATTTCATTGTTCTATTTTGTTTCATTTCATACTGAGTAACTTCCTTTTCTCATCCTTGGGAGATTCATGTCCTGTCTGGGACAAGATGGCACAGCCTGGTGTGGTCCATTCAAGATTTAGCTGGACAGGGCCCTGAGCAACCTCCTCTCCTGCTGAAATTGGCCTTGTTTTGAGAAGGTGCTCACTAGAGGAAATCTATGCACCAAAGATCCCTCCCAAACTTAATTATTTTGGACCTGTTTACTTTTCATATCACTGAAAAATAACTATATACCAGTTTATCAGTTTGTGAGTCACCAGTGGTAATGAACATACTCTGTACAAAAATAGCTTTTTGGAGCATTTTATTCACTTTATGCAAGCATGTTCATTCTCTCCATATCTCATAGAATCATTAAGGTTGGAGGATCTCCAATTATTTCAGGCTGAATTTTAGCATTAATTATCTTAGCATCCAATACCTTATATTTTTTGCCATAATGGCTTTCATCATTGTTTAATTTTTCAGTTAATAATTTCAAATCTGTGCTTGTTGCAGACAGCATCCTCAGTATACTCTACTACATGAGTGGCTGTACTGATGCTGGGAGAGGCTACCTAGGATAGAGGCTAGACAGAATTAGAGAATAAAGTGGGTATTTAATAGAGGCCTTTAACAGATCCACCTTTGGCAGTGCAAAAGCCTGGCAGAGGCTACTCCCAAGATGGACAACAGTCAGGAGTTTTCTCAGACTGATAGGATTTTGGTCTGTTTGCATATCAGAGGTTAATTGTCCAATTATCGCTTCAGGTAATGAAGTCACGTTATCCTGGTTTGCTGCTCTTCCTGATTCATATTTTGTTTATACTTTCTGGAGCCTGAGGCAAATGGTGTGACCTTGGTTCCCAGGCCCAGAAGGATTGTTTAATCTGACCAAAATGTGATGAGAGCTTACTAGTGCTCTATATGAAGTTCAGAGCTATATACTCATCCAGTACAGGATGTGAAAAATATGAAAGCTAAAACTTAAGGCACCAATACTAGTCTGAGTTTTTTATTGCCTAGTATTTTTGTTAGATCAAGCCTTTGTTTAACAATAGATACGGCAGGAAGTATTGACCTTTTTTCTAAGACAGACAAATTTTATGATTATCATTTTTGCTAGACGATATAAACATCCTTTATTGTTACTAAAAACTTGGATATTTCATCCTAAAAAAATAATTTGCAAAGATCACATACAAAATCTACTTTTTCCCATTTGATCTGCATTCTTACAGTCCCTATAACAACAACTATTCAAAAATATTTTACTTCTCTATGATTCCTGTGTTGGTCTATGCCTACATCTTTCCAAAGCCAAGCATCGTTAATTGATTAGAAAGTTTTTTTATTCTGTCCTAGCTTATGAACTTTGACACATGCTGGAGTATGCTTAAAACTGAAATATGCTTTAGCACATGTATGGATTGAATATACATTGTTTACCTTTTCAGAACCTGTAGGTGTAGGTTGTACTGGTTATTTTTTTAAATTTTCCTGATAAAAGTAGTGTTTTAAATATTCACTCTTTGCCTATGCACAAAATATTCATAAGCAGAGCTGTTTAAATTGTACTCTGAAGAAAAAGAATGCTGAAGAAATAGTTTTGGAGCAATAAAATTGTTGTTGATTTTATTTGATTAATAGTCTCAGGCAGAAAATACAGGGACTAGAAGTTGAAAAAACAAAATATCTCATTTCAGTTTTGTCAAACAGAAATATGTAAGTGCATTGTAAAAAGAAAACAGGGATTGAATATGTTCAGTAGACCTCAAGAAATTTTATTTATATACACTTCTGAAAGGCCACTGAACCAAAATATCTATTATTTGCACAAGTCTGCTCATGAATACTAAGTGCTAAACTTTCCTCCTTTTTTTTTTTACTCTTTTTTTCCTTCAAATGTTTGAAATAAGATATCTCCTTGGGTATGTCTGTCAGTCTTTCTATATCAGAATATTTCTTCCTACATTCAAGTACCTACGGTTTTTCTGGTTACTATACACTGAGGATTTCATAAACAGGACTTTCATCAGGCACTGCTGCTCTACACAAAGAGATGTCATGGACATCACAAATCTTCATCTCTATTGTGCAGCTCAGTGATCTTTGGAGATTTTCAACATCCCATAGTCTTTTTGAAACTCGGAACAAATACATTTTGAAACCAGATTTGATAGGCTTTGTTGTCCATGTGAATCGTAAGTCAAACTGGTGGTATTCAAAAAGGCTACATAAACACTGATTATACTGAAATACCTAAAGGCAGATGCTTAAGGCTCACCAGGTGGTAAAATGTTGCTCTCCTTTTTTATTCACCAGTTTTGTAGCTTCCTCATCTCAGTTATGTTCAGTAATTCAGAAAGAGGTAGCCAGACACTACTTTAGATTCCATGGAGCTATACACATGTTTGAGGACAATTCCAGGCAATCCCTTGAGGGACTCCATTGCAGAGAAAAAGTGCAAAATTCAACTATGCAGCATTGATGATTGTTTCTTTTCATTATAGAAATAGATTGCCAAAAATCCCTCAATTCTCTTAACAACTCATTAAAGTACTCATTTGTTAGAAGCTAACTTCTATAAAGCATCATTCAGAAACAATGCCTTATTTTACTTTTTGACATTTAAAAGACCTTTGCAAGAGTCTACTGAGCAGTGATGTCATATTTGATACATACATGTGGCTTTTTGGTGTGGTTAGAACCAAGATGTTCAAAGGCATCTCCAATATTAAGATGTTACCTGCAATTATCCAAGCAATTATCCAATTATTCTTCAAACACTGGATTGCTAATATTCTTCTGGTTTGGAAAAATAAAACCAAAAGTGACATATGCCTACCTTTTTGTGTGTTCTGTTGTAATGACAAGTTTTATTTCTTCCAATTTTACTTATCATATACTCCTTAGATTTTTGCCTTCATATACCTGATGATGCCAAACTTGAAAGTGTTGTTGGACCCTCTTGAGGGACCAGAAACAATAGAGATGGGTTTAGATAAGCTGGAGTTGGGTAATGATCAATGGGATGAAATTAAACAAGGCAAAATGCTGGATCCTGCGCCTAGGGCAGAGTAATGCTGGGCACAGATATAAATTGGCAGATGAGTGGCTGGAGGGATCTGGGGGTGCTGGCTGTCAGCAGCCTCAGGAGGAGTCAGCAGTGTGAGTCCAGGCAGCCCAGAGGGCAAATGCCATCCTGGAGTGCACCAAACT